TAAACCTGTTTCACCACCACAGCCTGCAATATTAAAATTCGCAGGAAAGTGAACTGAGTGAAATACCAAAATGTACATAATGTTGTATGAATACCAAGAATAGCAGAAAATCTTTAGTTGTCTTTAGCCTCTCTTTACTCCATCAGTACGTCATAGGCTATCAGAACGTGAAATGGTAAAATATTGTGGGCAGCGTTGAAAACAAAGGAAGAGTTACGGCAGCACGGGCGAGTTTATTGTACCATGCTGGCGACAAGCATGGGTTTCTGAAGATCAATTCTAACCCGGATCTCCACGTGTATCTAGTTACTGTTCCAACCCGCTGAGTGACACAAGCGGCGTTCAAACGTTCTCCTGCACGCCAGTAGGCCCCTCGTTACAACTATCAGATCTATCCAGATGAAACTGAACCGTGAACAGTACACTATCCCTGGCTTGTATTCTGAAGACCCGATGCTGTCAGTACTAGCTTGCTTACTACGTACAGCCGGACGTCGCGGCCGGATATTGTGCTCCCTCAACCGGTTACATACAGTTCTGCCACTAATTCATCTAAAATCAGACACTGTCCGTGCTGTTAATGTGACAATTGTTATCGATCCTGTAGGTACACTTACCGATTATGGTGGTCTTGTGAAGACACCCGTGCACGACCGGTGTGTGGCAAGTCATGGTAGTCATAATATTGTGTTTGACTTAACATTAAGATCTCTCTAATTTTCCAGTTTGCTACAAGCCTACGGTTTCTGGGGTTTTTTTTTTCTCCTATAGGATGTGTTTCAGTACCAATACAACGTGTACATGCACACAATTTTGGGTAATTCACCATGTTCACTCCTGTAACAAGAGTGAGTTAGTTTGGGTGTAAGCCGCTTTCAGCAATAATACAGCATGAGACACCAGAAATGGGCTTCATACATTATACCCGTGAAAGCTCTTCAGCCTGACGAGCAAACGCCTTTACCACACGGCTGCCCCTCGCTCCTTACCACAAGAAATGTACTACTAGATTTCACGTTCACCTGATGCAAGCACATGACATGAGCCTTGTTAAGATTAAAGAAGGGAAGCTAAGAGATTAGCCTAAGTTTTCTGCTATTTCTTAGTATTTCCTTTAGTACTAATACAACGAGTACATGTACATTTTGGGTATTTCACTCAGTTCACTCCTGCAGGTTTAAGTGTGCAAGACATGAGGTGAGGTGAAATTGGGTTTAAAGTCGTACTTGAGAATATTTCGCTCATATGACGACGTGAATGCGTGTGTATGTGTATGTGCGGCTGCTTGTACTAGCCCAGACTGAAGCTGGTTTTATAGTGCTAGCTCACTAAGATACCATGCCGCAGTGAAGCATGAATACCCCTCTCAGACACATTATACTGACTCCGAGTCGACCAGTCCTTGTTGTACCCGTTAATGCCGAGCGCCAGACAGGGACCAACAAGTACCATATTTTTAACGTCTTTTGGTATGACGCGGTCGGGGATCGAACCCGCGACCTTCCACTCTCCGGGCGAACGCTCTAACTACTACACCACGGAGGCGGTCGCAAGACATGAACGTTGATAAGATTAAAGGTAGGACGTTCTTCCTTTTGATCGCGTGTCGATGTTCAATACCCTTTCACATGGACGAAGCTTTTTTAGATCTACAGGCATGTCAAAACCAAACTGAACATGTAATATGTAAATGTCATGTACTTCTTAACGAGGACACGTCACAAATGTCACTTATATCTCCCTTAGTTTTGCCTAGTTGAGTGATGATTTGGACCCATCTTCTTATATATTCCGTTCGTTTGAACTGCTTAACTGCTTCATCGATGCAAATCTAAACAATTCTAGGCGGTTACAGGAAAAATTTAATATCAAAATGTGATAGCTTCTGTATTTCGCTAACTTTAAAGAAAGGACACATTTTGGGGACTATTTCATATCGTAGTATCATTCCACCGGGACCATGTTCAACTTTCATCTTCTCCACACCTTCTTTGGCTCTGACTGTGAGGGCTGTGCCGTTGATGGTGTCGTCCTCCATTGCCATCAGGAATGCACTAACCACCTGGTCTACCCTGAAACACACAGACATCACACAAACACTATACATGTATATAAGCACAAAGTTACATTAACGCGCCAGTTGCGGAGTTCAGGGGCTCGATCTCGACAAAAACGAGCGCCAACATACAACTCATACATTGTAACTCATAAAATGACTAACTACAATCGTAACGCTACGGTCTCTTTGTGAAGCCTATCCCAGATTTCCAACGGAGGGAACGTGTTCTATTTTGGAAAAGTGTGTCCAATATCCTTCATGCATGTGGATATTATTGCGAAAGTTTTAATTCAAACTAACTCGTATGGCAAAATCCAATTAAACAAGTGAATTAAGGATTGAAATTCAGTATTATGGAATAAATCCAAACGCATGACGTAAAATGACTTTCTTCAAGAACAATTTGCCATAAATGAAAGCAATCGTCATTGAAGCTTACAGGCGGCCCAGCCTGAAAATCAAAGACAGTATCAATACAAAATGTGAGGACGGGCATTAAGGCAGAAGCAAGCACACCCAGTACCCTTTACTTGCTGAACTGTTGCGTTCGAGCACAAGAATCAGAATTTCTGCACTTACTGGCAAAATCGAGACAAAGGAATTTAAGTTCCAGTTATGTCGATGATTTTGGTCATCGTCTTATACCAATTCCTGATTTACCAGAAGAAATAAAATACGAAAAATCAGTCTCATGTCTGTTTCACTTGGATTGTACATATAATCAGGAGCGACAAAACAGTATAAAAAAACAGTATGACAAGTTAGAGATGACTTCCGAAGTTTGAAAGAGGGTCGTACGATTCTTGTTCAAAGATTGTGCGATCACACCTGTAGTAGAGAAACCATTAGTAAAGCTCTGCATCATTTCAAAGGTGAGGTCCGCATATTTGCCATGTATTTCCTGAATAGTATCAATCACATTGCTGTCAAAAGGGATGGGAAATTCAATGCTATAAATAATTATTGGTTTCATTTACATATTCTGGATCGTACAATGGGTGGACATCGGAGTCAAGCCGCAAGTATGGCGAGAACAAAGGACCGAGCAACGCCATCTTGTTTCTTAAGATACTGTGTCAGAAAAGCAAAGGGCTAAAATAATCACCCTGAAATATTCCCCTTCTAATGGTAATAGGTTTTGAGGTCAGCACCTGTCTAAGGGAATACATATCCGGTCGATTTGACCAGCAATTCATTAAAGAATTGAGTAAACCAAGTGCATTGCCCAGGGAGGTCAATACATTCTAGTGACTTCAAAGTCCATTCGTGAGGTACAGCATCATGCGCTTTTCTTTTGTCAAACCAGCACATTGCAAGGTTACTGCGGTAAGTATTATACTCTTCAATGGTATTTTTAACCAAACAATTGCTCCTTATGACCCCAACATCAATTTCAGGCTCCTTTCTGTTCCATGTAAATAATTACCATTAGATGGCACAAGGTCCGTAAAGACACCCTGAAAATAGTTTGCCTTGTGCATTCAGACACGTAATTGTGGCATCAATCAAAGCACCTTCTGTTGGAGAGTATCGTGCAATCTTTGAACCAAAGGGAGATCATCCTCTGTATCAAAGAGAGTCTTCAAACAGTGAAGTAATGGTGTTTGGACACAAGGAAACAGTTTCCAATACCGGTTTCGAATACCATTATTATTTTCAGGAAATCAGGTGTAATGAAACAAACCAATGGCGACATTACTTTTGTCATGTACACTAATATTGTACTCCTCTACCCATGGTTCCTCAAGATTGCAGGGTACTGAAAAGGTTTTGTCGTGATTATTTGATAACAGAAAGTTACAGCATCAGTTCACTACAGAAGGCAACATAACATTATTTCAAAAAGTTGTCTTCAGTTTTTTTAAATAAAAGTGCTTACGTGCAAAACACGGTCTGTTCTATGAAGTCTGCATCGTTGTATGATCTGGTCTTCATCCAAGTACAAAAGAGCTGTCTTAGCACCCGTGGGGCAGATACTGACTAGTCGAACTTCGGCAGTCCTCATTTCAGGGTTTTGCTAATGAAACCATGGCATTACACAGTGTGAGTGAGTAAGCATTTTAGTACACATCGGCAATATTTCAGCCATAGCTACATAGGTTATTGTTATGGCACTTAAAATGTCGTGAATGTCTGAGCAGATAATCGAGATAGAATATTTTCTGTTATGCATTTTCCTTATACATCCAGATCGGATTGAGTTTGCACGCTCGTTTGGTTTAATCAGCACCAGTATAGAGAACGGGTCGTTCTTTCTAATAGTCCAGACATGTCCAGATTCCTAAGATCTCGAGATCAAGGCACAACATGTAGATTTGCAAGAAATTCACTTACTGCCCAACTCGACGTGAAATGATAAACAGCGCTCTTACTGGCTCCATAAACAGGGAACCAGTACGTAGGCATCAAAGCTACATAAAGAACCAAAGAATGATAAGTTAACAGTTAAGGTTCATTATTTGTAAGGATTTCGAATTTCGAACTTCAAGCAACCGCACATACACATACACACGCATGCACGTCGTCATATGAGCGAAATATTCTCAAGCACGACGTTAAACCCAATTTCACCTCACCTCACCTCATAATCTCCATGTAATGCTACCTTGTGAAGAAAACAACTCGGTCGTTTGTTCAGGGGTAAACTATATTCCAGCGAAACCACCGTGGTCAGTGAAAAAATTAGTCTTGAAAATACATTCCGGTGATTGACATCGTGAACATACGGGATACAATGACATGCAAGTCAGCTAGCCTGACCCTACGTCACGGATCTTCACGGGGGTGGATACCAAGTAAAGGGTGCCAAGTTGCAAAGAAGACTCCTCTTCCTCAACCTCCTCCTCAAACATCTCTCAAACCATTCCATTACACACAGACCTCATGCAGCATCAACACCTTATCCCGACCCAGTAAAATGGACATTAATGGACAGGAATGACTACCTCATACCTGCCGTTGACGCTGTGTTGATGATGACGCCGCCTCTTCCGCCTTTATCCTTCCTCATGTGATTCAGCGCCATCATGGTCCCCCGCACAACGGCAGTCTGAATGCAGAGAGCAATGAAGAGAGTATAAACATAAGTAAGGACAAACTTTATGGATGAGCAACTCGTTCAGGTGATGCAACGTTTCTATACAGCTTCTATCTCTCCAAATCTCCAACTTCTAAAAAATGCCACTCAAGAAGTGAGTGAGTTAAGATTTTAAGTCACATCGGCAATATTTCAGCCATATCGTGACTACAAACAAGTTATAATTTTACAATAAATAAAGGTAAATTATACAAACCTGTCAGCAAAGGACAGTAAAACAACTAGTATATCAAAGATTTCAATTTAAAACTAGTAATAAACACTAAAATACCTAACTAGGACAATACAATATAAAAACAGGCTATAGATCGCCAACAACTGAAGTTAGATCACTATGCTAGGGACCATGGCCTTAGATAGAGAGGGGGAGGTGAGTTCACAATAGACAATCTTTTGCATGATGTCCAATTACTATGTCCCGTCAATTTTTCGGGAAGGGGTATTGTGTCTTACGAAATCTATAAACCATAGCAATTCTCTGGTCATATGGACGGATTTGTTCATATTCATAAATTTGTAAATCCTTTGATAGAGAGAGAGGTGACCCTGCCATGTTAACAATAGGATGCACAATTACTATGAGCATTGTGTCTGTAAGGAAATCATAATCCATAGCAATTCTCTGGTCATATGAACGGATGTATGGTATATGGTAGATATTCATATGACAAATTTTCAAACTCTTACAAAGTTGATTTCCAGTTCTTTTTCCCATATCCGTTCATCCAGTATGCCTGCATTGTTGCACATTACATCAACATGACCAAATTTCGAGACAGCAGCTTTGAAAGCATCTGGACAAATAATGTCATACATATACTTACATATTTACTGAAGGTAACCAATCTAGATTAAAAAACGGAAGGTGAACAAATCGTCAGCCGTTAACGCAACATAGTAATAGACGTTATGTGTTACACTGTTGAAGGAAATAATTTTAACATAGCAAAATTCTACAGAAGCGAATACAGTGACCAACATTTAAGACGTTCATGGTCACAAAGTAACACGAAAACACCCATGCACTTGATGCACTGTTGCAAACTTCGTTAATAAAGGCAGTGTACAATAGGCGCTTGAAAAATAAAAGTACTGAAATCAGTGCCAGAGCTACTGTACGTTCCAAACGAACTGTTGTATGTACTTTAAGATGTGAGGCAGGACGAAGGACCTTGTTAACCCTATCAGGTTTCTAACTACCATTAGGAGTATGCTGCATTGTGCAAGCATCCCCTGGACCCCCGACTTAAGCCATATATATATATTATGAATGTTGCTAAATAAAAAGGTATTCAAGATGTCTAAAGTTTTTCCAAACAAGAGGCCAGAATAAAGATTCATTTAACTCTTTGCAAACAAACATCGCAAAAGCTTAAGCTTCTTGATGATTCACATAAGCCGGGATTCGATAAGGTTTGTTGAATATCTGGCCGACCACAATCAAGGATATAACATTATGACCGCCTGAGCCTCCAGATACAGGCATAGCAATTGCTGAAGCTGATTCCCACCTGCGGCTGTAATATCGCTACCATGGTGATCTCACTATTTAGTATCTCACCCTCAAACTCAGCAACATTCGTCACGTCACACTTCACAAAAAAAAGACATTATCAGCTCCACTGGAAGTTTGTAGTTCCTTGGTAGTTGCCTCCCCTTGATCCTTCTTGACATCTGCGAGACAAACCTGAATAAAATGTCAGACAGGATATGTTCTTTCTTTAGGCCCTTGTTAATAGACATAGACTGTTATACTAGTTGCTTATTTATACCCGCTAATATCCTGCTCAGTTCAAGGTAATCTCATGAAATTGCATCATTCATTTAAACGAAACCACTATTTCTATCTTGAAAAGAGGTGAGGTGAGGGGAAATTGGGTTTAACGTCGTGCTTGAGAATATTTCGCAACAAGTACCATATTTTAACGTCTTTTGGTATGACGCGGTCGGGGATCGAACCCGCGACCTTCCGCTCTCCGGGCGGACGCTCTAACCACTACACCACGGAGGCGGTCATCTTGAAAAGAAATATAATTTGGGAGTTCCGAATGCAAAACAAAAGCACCGTTACTATATTTTTGGCATTCTTCCTGCTTTTCCTGAGTGCCATAGCAACAGAGATTACTTAAGTGTATATTTATGCCCTTACTCACTCACTCCTCTCATGTAACATAATATAATGTTTCTGGTTCTTGAGCTATTGCTGGAACTAAGTACAGGGGCATAATAAATAATAACCCGAACGATTACAATAGGTCTCCTGCCTTTTAGGCTCTGTTTGCATTTCAAAATAAACTGCACGTAAGACATCTTTACCTTTCCCCCTTTCTTCAATACTGCTTCAGCCACACCCCTCCCGAATCCCTGTGCACCGCCAGTGATGAACACTACTTTATCTTTCAGCTGCATGTCGACTTCAGGTATGCTGTAGGTGGAAACAATTATATGTGTAATATACACTCATGCTATTCTGTGCAGCGGGACTGTAATAAGTGGACATGGATTTTGTCGGCCTGAATAAACATTATATTTTTAAACAGATCCGAAACTAATAATGTGAATATCACCAGGTGATCATGACATAGAACTTTGAACATGGCACATTATATATAAAGTATAATATATAACATATACCTTTATCCAATTGATATGAACTATACACAAAAGAATTAGTGAGTTTAGTTTTACCCGCTTTTAGCAATATTGCAGCAATATCACTGTAGGGGACACCAGAAATGGGCTTTACACGTTGTAGCCATGTTGGGAATCGAACCCGGGTTTTCGAGCAAACGCCTTAACCATTACGTTACCCCACCGCCCCTATATACCAAACAATAAATAGAACAATTCATAAATATGCAAAGCACGGTCAAACATTGTAACTTGCAACCGGATTTTTGCAAAGGGATACTGAGTGAGTGAGTTAAATCTTACATTGCACTGAAAACGTTGGAGCAGTTTTGCGATCATGCGATCAAGACAATTCTTATAAGTGCCTGTCGACAAAGGGCAGTAAAACAGAAAGGTAAGTATCACATTGTGGTACTGTAGGAGTGTGGCACTAATATGTGATACTGTTGTCATAACCTATCGGAACATGCATTATTCAGACTGTGGGTGGGTGAGTCAGTTTTGCTTTTCGTTCCTTTAAAGACAATTTCAGATTATCGTTTTGGGCAATCTTATTCCATGTGGAAACCAAAGAGATGTTTATCCTGGAAATTTATCGGTAAAACCAACGACATGGGCAGATCGAGGATAATGTGAAGTGAATATGTGATTCGACTGTGCAATCAACAAAGGGACGCAACTGTTCACAGCCAATATGCGGCACATTAAACAACATATACGGACACCCTCGCCAAAACCCATCATGATATTTCAGTAGACTTCTTCTATCTCCCTTACATCAAGGGCGCGTCTACAGTGCTCGCCACATAACTATTAAGAAACCATCAAGAGACTCCCGATTACAACACCACTAGAGGAATAGCAATCGGAATTTCACGGGTTGGATTTACAGGTTTTGCTGCTTACATCGTACCTGGGCTGTAAGACAGACGCTCAGATACGGGTGTAGGAGTATGCGCACTGTATACAAAATACATCCTATGCCGTTACTCGAAACATGTTCTTCTTAATTATTACTTACCACGTTGGCGGCTGTGTTTGTGAATATATATATAGCCTCTCTCGATATTACGTTCAGAGTCCGCCCTCTACTGATTTTAATCTTTGAACCTTGAACTTTTAAATTTCACACAGTCATGTTACAAAAAAAATAAGCGAAAAGCAATATACATACCTGAAGATCTCCCACCGCTGAGTGACGAGTCACTCTAAACAGCTATTGAGTGGACACTTTTGGGATACATTCTGGAGTTTACAAGGCTTGTGTGTGCAATTATTAATACACTGGTCCTCCCGAAAGGGTTAGGAAATGTTTAAACATACGGCGATGCTAAAACGTGGAGTAGTGTCTTTAAGTGTGGTCTCAATAGAAATACAATTATATTAATCGGATTACTTAGCAACGGATATTTGAAGGATATTTCGGTGGCTGGTTATTCGATGCCATGGCTTGCTGACCAAACGTATATGTTTACACTGGAATTTATTACCCATTATTATCCAGGTTAGAATTGGTCTTCAGCAACACATGTTTGTCGTAAGGCGCGACTAACGAGATCGGGTGGTAAGACTCGCTGACTTGGTTAACACATGCATGCCACCATATCCCAGCTGCGTAGATCGATGCTCATGCTGTGATCACTGGATCACCATATAGCTAGACTATTGATGCGTGCGGCGTTAAACAACATTGGCATTTATCGTATTTTGTGACAAGATACTGGACAGAAGCCACGAGGTATTTACGGCAAAATGATATTTTCACTCCTTAACATTGCCAATTGCTGGACCCGGTTATCCTTGTGTAGCTGTATCAAATGACCCTGTCAACTCCAGGATCTCATTAACATTGCCCACTGCTGGACAGGGTTATCCTTGTGTAGCTGTATCAAATGACCCTGTCAACTCCAGGATCTCATTAACATTGCCAATTGCTGGACCCGGTTATCCTTGTGTAGCTGTATCAAATGACCCTGTCAACTCCAGGATCTCATTAACATTGCCCACTGCTGGACCGGGTTATCCTTGAGTAGCTGTATCAATAAACATAAACGAGTATTAGCGTTATCATTAACCTATGTGTCGACTGAACACCGCAATTGTCTCATTAAAACTAATTCTAAGATGCCTAGCGGTTAGAACAATCGAAAAAAAAATACATTATCAGACAATAAAGGTATAGTTTTTTGATGACGTAACAATTGAATGACGTTATCCCGTCACTGCGCCATTCTAGTGTGCCCCCTCGTAATCGAACCATTTTACATTACGTCACAATGTAAGCGACGTCACAATGCATGTCAGTTGTCATCGCCTCGTACGGCCTCCTACAGTAAACTACACCGTTGCATCCAGTTTCTTGGTTTGCTGTTGCTTCACGCAGCTAACATCACTGGTGGAAACATTACGTTTATGTTTTACGACGGTTAAAATGTGTCATTTCGACTCACAAGTTTTCAGCGACACGGTAACGTTCGTAATGTTTACATTCCCACAATGCAATTGTGGAATGTCGTTTGACTACTCAACTTCCTCTGGATGTAATGATCTAAACTTACGCTGGTAGTAGAAATGCAACGTTCATATTGCCCCATATGGTTTACGTTAATGACAGATGTAATTAAAATAATTCAGAGAAGATATTTAATCCGAACGTAAACCGTCATCAAACTGTTATCATTTTTTTTTCTGGTAACGTTCGTCTTAACGTAGGGGGCAGACACATCAATAGAACAGCGCGCCAGTTAGCCCTGTGCGAGGATTCTTAATTTAGGTCACCGACACCGTCGTTTGTTTTCTGCCTTAAATTAATCGTAATTATCTTTAGAAAGTATTAAATTTGGCATCTTAGAAAAGAAATACACTTCGCCCTACCACCATGTATAGTGTAATAAAACACACTTTCGCCCTGAACTATTATAACGTTAAGCACTCGGACGCAAGCGTCCTCGTGCTTTAACTATAATAACTCAGGATGCAAAAGTGTCTTTTATTACACTATAGGAAATAAAGAGCGAAGTGTATTTCTTAAACATTACATATGTGGTTATAACGCTACCTAAACACGGTAGCTGGATTGTTAGAGATAATGAAGTCTCGCTATGCAAATGTTCAGCTCCATTCGAACAGATGTTGAATCCAGAGCGGAGGCTGCACAACTAACACATGTTTACAGACGCTTTATACGTAAATATGAATCTGTACCCCTGTATTGCAGTTTTCTTCGCCATGACTAGGGTTCCATACATCCTGGACCCACCTCTGACCCTCATTGTTACCATTGAAAGGCAGGCGAGGAATTAGTCTTGCAGCACCAATGAAAGGAATGGCGAAAACACCTTAACAACTCATAGATATAAGTGAAATTCGGTCTGAAAACAGTGGATACAATGTTGTTCGGACTTGTTCCCACTGCAGATAATTCAGGTTCGTTATACAGTGAATTTCAGTTTGGAGTATTAGAATATTAACTAGTCTCTACCTTAAAATTTCCAAAATCTGGGTATGATTAGTTCAATGGAGAGGTAAAGGTCTATTAACTGACCTACTTGGGTTCACCATACGTTAAAGAATAATGTCGGTATCACTATGGCTCTTTCTGCCTATATAAACTCCCTTGTATTCTGCGTTAAAAAGAAACGCTAAGAACTGTTTTCCAATATGTTACAGTACTTTGTATATACCAAATCCATTTCCTATATATTGTTATCCTACTAACAGGACGTAAAGACCTGGCCAGCAAGGGATTTTATGGTGTGTCTTTCAGTTTCCTTTGCACGTCAATTTGTTGGACTGAGCTGGTAGCTGGAAAGATACCGTCCTTGATTTATTCACATTTTCCATAATATGTTGTACATCCTTCATCAGAGTCTCATGTAAATTCAAGAAGAAACGTCAAACTGTTTCTTGATATGTCTGAAAAGAACATAAAATGGTTTGGGTGAACGGATGAAAGAATCCATTGTCTATAATGCAGTCATTTTGCAGTGTGCTAGATTTAGGAATATGTATCAGTCACATTTTGCCTTATTTTACTAGTACCGCCACCGTGTTGTAGTGGTTAGAGCGTCCGCCCGGAGAGCGGAAGGTCGCGGGTTCGATCCCCGACCGCGTCATACCAAAAGACGTTAAAATATGGAACTTGTTGGTCCCTGCCTGGCGCTCGGCATTAATGGGTACAACAAGGACTGGACGACTCGGAGTCGTCTCAGAGTCAGTATAATGTGTCTGAGTGTGGGGTATTCATGCTTCACTGCGGCATGGTATCTCAGTGGGCTAGCACTATAAAACCAGCTTCAGTCTGGGCTAGTGCAAGCAGCCGCACCTACACATACACGCGCATGCACGTCGTCATATGAGCGAAATATTCTCAAGAACGACGTTAAACCCAATTTCCCCTCACCTCATCTTATTTTAATAGTTAAACAGTTTTTGCACTGTCGACATGTATACAGAAACGGCGCTTTTATTAATTTAACGTGAATATGCATGTATCCTTCATTAAATGAAAATGTAACGTGTTATTCTACAGGAGGTATAAATGTTGAAGGAAGTCAAACTTGGCAGGTTGTAACATCCATCATCCATAACATATCATCTATTGTCATTTCAAAAAAATCAGATGCTCTTTAAGTTTGTTTGAACGGTATGCCTATTTCGGGGTGTTACTTGAATGCACTCCATCACACTTCCACCCTCAAAACCGAAAGCGCTGTGTAACGCAAACGACGTTCAAACATACTCCTGGAAGGCTGCAGAGTTACCAGATGAAACCCAGATTTAACTGAGAACAGTGCACTATCCCAGGCTTGTATTCTGAAGAGTTCTGCGATGCTAGTACAGCGTACAGCTGGACGTCGCAACCGGATTGTGTGCTCCCTCAACTGGTTGTACACAGTCCTGCCACCAACTGTTCAAACCGAGACATTGTCCGTGCTGTTAACGGGACAGTTTGGTATCTATTCTGTTGGTACACTACCCAATTATCGACGACCGGTATGTTGGAAGTCATATGATCTTCATAATACTCTGTTTCATTTAACATTGATATCTCTATAATCTTCCCAATTTTGTAGTTTGCAGGATGCCTATTTTTCTTGCTATTTTTATGTTTCTTCTATAGGATTTGTTTCAGTACCAATACAACATTTGGGTATTTCACCCAGTTCACTCCTATAACAAGAATGAGTATGCTTTTACGCCGCTGTTAGCAAAATCCTCAGAATCATGTGTTCGGTGCCCTGTCACATGGATAAAACTCTTGATCTACAGACATGTCAAAACAATACTGAAGTAATATGTTTTATTCACAACATGGCAACGATCATACATATCTCCCATAGTTTGAGTGCATTTGCCTTATAACAATGATTCCCAGCTCATCTTATATATACCATTTGTTATAACTGCTTTATCTGCTTAGATTACGTAAATCTAACAACAAGCTAAGGCAGTTCCAAGAGAACCTTGAGACGCTGTTGTTCACCTTAAAACTAATAAGCATACGCAAATACGCAAACTTTATAGAAAGGACACTATTAATACTACTGCTTAGGTTCTCGCATTTGGGGGAGCTATTTTATATGGTACGTGTCGTGGTATTATTCCACCGGGACCATGCTCAACTTCATCTTGACCACACCTTCTTTGGCTCTGACTGTGAGGGCTGTGCCGTTGATGGTGTCGTCCTCCATTGCCATAAGGAATGCGCTAACCACCTGGTCTACCCTGAGAAGAAGCGGACATCACACTAACACTATTCAAATACAACGTTACATTAACACACTAATGCCTGTTCAGTTTCCCGTTCGACACAGCAGTCGTAGCGCTAACACATAATAATGACTTACGACAATCGTATCGCTACGGTTGCTTTGTGAAGTTGGTGCCAATAGAGGGGAACATATTCAATTTTTGAAAAGTGTGTCAATTATCGTCAATGTCTGTGGATAATGTCTATGTATGAGGTTAATCTTACAGACTCGTATAGCCAAACAAAGAAACATGTATACATTCAAGAATTGAATCAAGGCCTTAAATTCAGTATTATGCAATAACAACAGTACGTATTGGCCTGGCATTCCACGAGATGGTCCATAACGACTCCTAAATTCTTGGATTTTCCTTCTATCTTGCCATGTTTCACATGAGAATTGTTGCATTTGTTGACTCCGGAGGACATGCCTATGTCACTGGAAAAGGACTCAACGCGAAGAACATATGCTGTTTATATTCTCCAGTTCAAGGCCATCCATGTAAAGGAGATGAGGAAAAGGTTTGGGAAACTGTGCTGCGGTGGCCCAAGAGGATAACCCTCTTCTTGGTTAAGCGTAAAGCTTAACGGATTTAGTGACAGACAGAAAAGCTAAGGCCTAAAAGAATCACCCTGATATATTCCTATTCTGATGGAAATGTTTTTTGAGGTGAGCACCTACCCTTGCGAATACATCTCAAGTTTAGTTTACCAGCGATTCATTAAAGACATGAGTAAAACAAATTATCGCCTGAAGTGGTCGATACATTTTAGTCACCTCAAAATCAATTCGTGGGTTACAGAATCATAGGCTTTTCTGTAGTCAATCCAGCATATAGAGAGGTTACTAGATTTTTACTCTTCAATGATAATTTTCTTTTTAAAACCAATAGATCCTTAAAAACCATCATCCAATCTGGCTCCTCTCTGCTCCATGTAAATAATATTATTGGAAGAGCAGTAGGATGACACAAGATCTGTAAGACACCCTGTTAGTATTTTGTATTGTGTGTGTGTATTCAGACACGCAGTAGGGCGGACATTTTACGGATCAGTCAGTCACCTTTCTTTGGGAGAAGTATTGTTCTACTTTTGCAGAACCAAGGTGTAACATTCCCTGTATCCGCGAGAGAATTCAAACAGTGACGTAGTGGTGTTTGGACACAAGGAAACAGTTTCCAATATCGGTTTCGAATACCATCAGGTCCTGGTGGATTAAATCTGAACTTTTGGGTTACATCAAGTATAATGAAAAGCACCAATGGCAGCTATATTTTTTCATGTTCATCATTATCGTCCTCCTTTACTCGTGGTTCCTTGGGTTACAGTTTCCGGGTATTGAAAACCGATTCAAACCCCTTCCATTGAAAAGGTTTTGTCGATATAACTTGATAACCGGATACAGCATCAGAGGTCGGGGATTACATCGGTTCACTACTGAAGGCAACATCACATTTTTTACAACAGTTTTCTTCAATTCTTAAGAAAAGTGAATACATGCTCACGTGCAAAACACGGTTTGTTCTATGAAGTGTGCACGTTGAGTGATCTGGTCGTCATCCATGTCAAAAAAGGCCGTTTTAGCACCCGTGGGGCAGATACTGACCAGTCGAACTTCGGCAGCTTTCATTTCAGGATTTTGCTGAAGAAACAATGGTATTACACAGTGTGGGTGAGTAAATATTTTCATTCACATCGGCAATATTTCAGCCATTTCTACACAGGTTATTGTTATGGCACTTACAATGTCGTGAACGGCTGAGCAAATATTCGAGACAAATGAGTTTCCGTTATACATTACACGTTACACATTTTCACACTCGTTTGGTTTAATCAGCACCAGTAGAGAGAACGTGTTGTTCAATCTAATAGTAGACAAAAGAACATTAGAGATTAAAGCACAATTTGCAGATTTGAAATTTACTTACTGCCCAACTCGACGTGAAGTGATAAACAGCGCTCTTACTGGCCCCATAAACAGGGAACCAGTATGTAGGTAGCAACGCTAAATAAAGAGCGAAATAAAGATTAAGCCTTAAAGTGCATGTGTGATAAAAGGAATAAAAAATGAAACTTAAATTGTGAAAAGAACATGTCGTAGCTTGACGCCAAAGAGTTTTTGAGCAATAAGGTGCCGTCTTGATCAATATAACCTACTCTGCGTCAGCCATTCGCCCTGTGGTAACATCCTCTGTTACCGGTCAAGTCAGAACAATACTACCAATTTTCCCAGTCAATCAGTCTACGTTTGGATCTCAGGCTAAGGAAAGAAATTAACAGGAAACAAACACCTACCACCCCTTCACCCTCAAGGGTTCCTCTACAGAACCATTTTGGGCCTCTGACATGGAGGTTATACCCGTCCTCGCAGGACAGGTGGAGGAATAATCCCCCCTCACATTCACTGGATCTCCGCTTGAGCCACCATGATTGTCCAATATGTTATAATGCAGTGAATTTGCAGAAGACATGAAATGAACTTCAACAAAATACAATTATTGATACAGGATTTAAAAATGCCAGCCTTATGTCTTCAAGAAGCCTATCTTAAAAATACAAATAACTTTGGTTGAAGACAGTACAGTCATTACCATTACTTTTCTCCTCCTGGTTCGCCAGCGTATGATACACATCATTGTATATCTAAATTCGAATCTTCAAGATGATGCTGTACGCCTAACACTGCATACTGCGTTGACATTATTCAGCCTGTATATCCTTCCTTCTTCTGATGGTCAAATTGGTTTAAAAAAATTTAACCCAGAAATAATTATATACATTTCTGTAGAAATTATAATCCACATAAAGACCAGAAGTAAATGGCATCCCCATCACAGTTGTAAAAGAGGCCAAGTTCTTTGGGTTTATTTTCCACTCCCATTTTACTGTCTTTAATTTGCCGTACATCAAATATCTTAAAGCCATTTATCTAAAACTGCTCTCCTGCTTCTAATTCATACTCTGGATCAAACTACCCTCCTACAGGTGCTGAGATTACTGGTCCGCTCAATTCATGATTACGGCCCCATTGTATAGGGTCGTAAGTCTCGCGAGGTGCTACTTCCGGTTCTACGCTGGTTCCCGGCTCCCTTTGTCCGCGCCAACTTACGATCTGCGAGACGGGGCCAAGCTTACTTCCGGAAGCAGATTTCCGGTGAAAGCGTATATTCAAAAACCAGTTCTGGTTCCAAATTGCGCGACCGCCAAATATGATTTTACTAGACCGGACCAAGTGTAAAACCACGCTTGGATGTCACAGCTCTTGGCAGTCGTAATAGTTGGCTAATGTGGGGATGGTTAGATCGGAAATTGTTATTCTTGCAAGGATTATCAGCTCCATACTGTCAACTGACAACCATGAGACTATTCGAAAAGGTATGAAACGTTGTTTGTCACCGGAGTGAGTGAGTGAGTGAGTTGAGTTTTACGCCATATTAACAGCTCCTAAATATATCAATACAGATTTCAAATAAAAACTATGTATATTATCAGACTCACTTTCGTGCCTTGATGCTATTAAATGGTTGTCTTGTGTCATCCACATTTACTCAAAATAATTAAATTATATAGTGATCTTGCTACTGGCCAATACAACATCGTTACCCAGCCATATTGGAATTTTGGGTAACATAATGACCGATTCTGCTGCTAAGGCAACGCTCAACAAATCTGTGACACATCTTCTCATGCCATACTCTGACTATAAAACCGTGATTAAATCTTACATCCGTGATCAAATGCAAAAGAAGTAGAACACTCAAGTATAATACGTCATATCAAACAGAATCAACTATCGGTTACACCTACTTGGGTTGTCAGTCCAGATTTGGAGAAGTTCCTCATGCGACGATGTTGCATTGCCCATACAAGATAAACTCATGATTAACTATTCTGAAAGAATCAAGGTCAAGCATGTCCTGCTTGTCTTAACCGAAGTTTCCATCACAAGGAATAATATTTCTGTGTAAAACAGTGTAAGATCAGTTTAATAATGTCCATGGTCATTTATTGTTTGCATGTTCAAACGAAATAGAATTATGGATAAATGTGTTTTATGTAGACAAATGTTTTGCAATTGGGTGATAGTTTAAATTAACAATTGAGGTTGTTAGTGGCGGTGGCCTCACGGAGAGGTGAAGTGTTGTAAAATTATTTTCCTCCTGAGGGGAAGGCAATTCCCGAAACATTCAAAGTAATTTTATGCCTACCTGAATTTTAATCCTAGTTTATTTGTGATTTTGAATGATGGCTAAATTAGAGTACAGTCGCCAACGGATAAAGAGATTACATACATCAAGCTAGGGTTATCCGGGGTAATAATGTGCTGTGGTATTCATTGTTAGCGCTATGAGCATACCTGGTGTGGTGTTTGGTGCTATATACATGTACACATCACTATTATTAGGATCCACGTAGGTAGCAAACGTACTGTTAGTCCACATGGTCCCTAGTATGGTGATCAACCTTCATTTCCTGGTGATCTACAACCTGTTTCTATACTGTCAAATTTCAAAGAGAGATGCTAGTTTTACATACTGTTTCTTTGATATTCTTGTTGTCCAGTAACACGGACATTGCTTGACAAGAATGACTTCCTCATACCTGCCATTGACGCAGTGTTGATGATGACGCCGCCCCTACCCCCTTTATCCTTCCTCATGTGATTCAGCGCCGTCATGGTTCCCCGCACAACGGCCGTCTGAACGCAGAGAGCAATGAAAGTAGTATAAACATGGAGTCCTTAGTTCATAATGGTTAGTGACAGTCCCAAGTTTATAATAAGCAGTCCTTTACATGATGTACTATGCTGAGTCAAACTAGAAACTTCACAATCATATAATCAATAATATATAAAGGAAATGACACAGGAATATGGTATACAGATTATCATTTTTTGTTAAGGTCGATAGGATGAACTGAGGATAATCACAATGCCAAAAATCGGTTCAATGTGATTACAGAATTTGTCAATAAAAGGCGTAAACAAAGTGTCAAGTCACAAGACATTAAATCTGGTGTTTCAAACGTTCAGGAGCGTGTATGGCCACCCCGCCCGTTCACAACTGTCAAGCAACGCCGCTTCATGGACTGTCTGATGCGTGTAAATACATTATTGGGGAGTCGGCGCCATTGTTCCTGCAAATGTAATGGCGTCAAAATGGTTCTGCGATATAGTCGTCGACCACGAAGGTGATCAGCTCGCAGCCGGTTTGGATGGTTTGTGCCGACAATCGACCCTAAACAGCTTATTTCTGGTTCCTGTAGCCGTCAAAAAACGATTACGGAGGTGACGTAACACAATTTGACGCCTATGACGTCACACGTGGTCAACCTGGCCTTGGACGATCAGCACCGGTGCCAGTTTGTTGCAGTCGAGTCTGTAAATCATAAACAGTCCGACGGCTGCACCCCATTGTCCTTGTAACGTCACTTACTGACGTTCCTGCTTCCAGAACTGGCTGTTCTTGTTAGTGCTTTAAAGTGTTTTTTCACTTTGTACAGTTGATGGGAACATGTGCGATCGAATGCACGTGCACTGATAAGATCACGTGACCAGTGGCACGTAAAAAACACGTTTTAGCAATATTGTGGGGTGCACGATGTTTAGATTGACTTCAATGTGCTGTGGTGAGTTTTTTCTTGTGTCGATACTTGGGGAAAACTGTTGACTATAACCGTTCCTGTTTTTATTCACAAATATAAATTGTGAAGTTGTTATTTTGACTCAGTCAGTATATGTCCGGTCAAATTTCGGGAGTGAACATTGTGTCTGTACGGAAACCAATAACCATTGCAATTCTCTGGGCTTATGAACAGATGTATGAAATAAAGTACATACTCATATGACAAATATTTAAATACTTACGAAATTAATTTCTAGTTCTTTTTCCCATATCCGTTCGTCCACTATGCCTGCATTGTTGCACATTACATCAACATGACCAAATTTCGAGACGGCAGCTTTGAAAGCATCTAGACAAAGAAAGGTCATGCATATACCTACATATTTATTTAAGGCAACCATTACAGATAACGAAAATTGAAGGTAAACAAATCTCCAGTCGTCAACGCAACGTGGAGATTTTATAGCCCTAGGTTTGTTGAATATCAAGGACATTATGCAACATTATGACCACCTGAGCCTCCAGATACAGGCGTAACAGTTACTGAAGTCGATTCCCATCTGCAGCTATAATAACACCAGCGTGGTGACGTCACTAGTTAGTATCTCACCCTCAAACTCAGCAACATTCGTCACGTCACATTTCACAAAGAAGACATTATCAGCTCCACTGGAAGTTTGTTGTTCCTTGGCAGTTGCCTCCCCTTGATCCCTCTTGACATCTGCGAGACAAACCTGACCGGAAATGGGAATATAATGTCAGACAGGATATCTTCTTTCTTCAGATCCTTCAAAGAAGATATAGACTTTTATACTAGTTGCTTACTTATACTCGCCATGTTTCTGATAAGTTCACTATAATCTCTACAATTGGATCATTCATTCAAACGCAAAACCACGTTTGTATGTGAAGACCTCCAAAAACATTTGTATCTTGGAAACAAATATAAATGGGAGTTCCGAATGCAAAACAAAAATACTACGTTATCATATTGTTGCTATTCTGTCTACATTTTCAAAGCGCCCTGATATATGCATGCAAGACAGTTTATTACAGAGTATATTTGTGTCCTTACTCAATCACTCACTCCTCTTATTTAACACGATGCGATATAATACTATTTACAAAAATGCTGAAGATCGTTCTTTGCTTTGGTTGCATTTCATAATGATCTGCGCGTAAGACATCTTTACCTTTGCACCCTTCTTCAATACTGCTTCAGCTATGGCTTTACCAAATCCCTGTGCCCCGCCGGTGATGAACACTACTTTATCTTTCAGCTGCATGTCTACTACAGGTATGCTGGTGGCAACAATACATGCATAATATATTCTCATACCGTTCTGTGCAGCGAGACTGTAATAAGTGGACATGAATAAGTCGGGCTGAATACACATTATGTACTCATGGAAACGAATATGGGACACCTAAAAGTACAAGTGTTCCTTTATTCTTTTCCAGGTTTCTTCACAAGGTATGTATTGCACTGTGGGTGAAATTCTGGAAAAGAATACAGGAACACTTGTCCTTTCAGGTGTTCCTGTTTTTGTCTCCATGAGTATATGGTAAACAACTGCAAAACTAGTAACGTGAAAGCCACCAGGCTACACAGAAATTTGAACTATCATACAACAATTAGTAATATTTAATTTTAATATACACCTTTATCCCGTTGATATGAACTATACATGGAACATGTATCAGACTGCGGGTGAGTGAATGCGTTTTGCTTCTCGTCATGTTAAAGACAAGTTCAGATGTATCATGGTGCGCCCTGTTATGCCATGTGGAAACCAAAGTGGTGCTTCCCCTGGAAACTTATCGGTGTAACTAACGGCATGGCCACTGTGCTGACAGATCAAGTGATGTGAAAATGCGATTCGAACTGAAATCAACAAAGGAACACAACTTTTCACAAGCAATATGCCCACTTTAAACAACATATGGGGAGACCCTCTCCCAAACCCATCTTGATTTTTCAGTACACTTTTTCTACCTTCCTCGCGCTAGTATCATGGGCGCTTCTACAGAGCTCCGTCCCGACATAACCATTAGAAAACACTCAAAAGCCTCCAGATGAGAACACCACTAGAGGAATAAACAATGATAATTTCACGGGTTGGATTTGCAGGTTTTGCTGTGGACAAATAAAGAATATCTCTCACCTTGACCTACCAATGCTTCGCTTTTAGCTGGGGCTGTAGGACAGTAGTTCAAATACTCTTGTCGGAGTATGTGTATGCACGCCAGCGTTTTTATACAACATTCATCCAGAACTGTTACTCGTAACAGTTGATGGTCTTGGTAATTATTACTCACAACGTTGCCCGCTGTGTTTGTGAATATATAGCCTCTCTCGATATTACGATAAGAATTCACATCTCGGGCTTTTGAACTTTGGACTGTCGTGTTCCAAAAACTAGGCAAAAGGCATTGAAATTACCTCCATATATCCCGAGTCACTGTAAACGTACGCTGTCAGATACTGAAAAGAGTATTTATCTTTTATATGCTAGGGTTTACAAGGACTTTGTGTACAAACATTTACGGACCTGACTTCATGTCTGAATTTTCCTGTGGATAAGTGATACTTCATTGTGTATCATATATCCTTCTATTTAAATCTTCGTTCATTGCGGATTCAAAGCTGCCTTAAACTTCACTCACTCATTCGCTGAGTATTTCCAATACAAACAGTAAGTGCTTATATGGCCAATTGCGTGTTTCAACTACTGACGAGAGGGATATGTTGCTTAATCCAAACACAGAAATGTGTGCATCGATACAAACGCACGCACGCACACATACGTACGTATATACATACGTGTGATGGAGAGAGAGGAAGACATTGGTGGGTTGAGGATTGTAATAATGAAACCATGTGTTTATACATGGTTGTAGTGAAACGAAAGACATTTGAAATCCACTGACTGCCCAGTGATCGAATGATCGCTCTTACTGTCTGCATATGTCGGGGCCAATAACACGAATTAAGCTTAATAAAGAGCAAATGAAATCATTACTGCGGTGTGACGCTAAATATTAACTCACTCATTACTGTGGCAGGTTACATTGAAAATAGGCTCAGCAAATTAAGGTAATTCAGCTTCAGTCATCCGGCTTACAACTGATGCTCAGCAACCCACGCTTGTCATATGAGGTGACTAACGGGATCGGATGATAAGGTTCGTTGCACGTTATCGCAGCCCAGATGCAATTGGAAGAGAAAATTGTTCCTTATAAGTTCATGTTGCACGTTAATTAGTGACCGGAACGATACCGTTCTTAATTTATGTCATTTTTCTACAATATGTTGTACGATTGCTTTCCTTGATATCTCTGAAAAGGGCATAAAATGGTTTTAGTATTCGGATGAAATTTGAATGCAACGGCATGAATTGGTCATTTTGCAACGCCCATGGTATGATTTACAAATATGCTGGACGATTCCAAGCAATCTCCAGGAAAAAGGTCCCTTCACGCCTTGTGTTCTTGCGTACCAAGGATTCCGGTTTTAAACGCTGATCAATCGTGCTAGGATGAAGATAAAGCTACTCTGTTTTCAATTTTGCGGTCCTTTATAGTTGATGTAAGACCGCTAAATGTTCAATTTAAAAACCTCACGCTTACAAGAGTAGCGTTATCTTCTAATTATGGTAATTATGCTTCATATGGACAGGAATGTTTTATCGCAACGAATTCATTGACTAAATCTAGATCTTTACTTGGAAAAAGGAAAAGGTGCGACGCGCCTTAAAAGAAGTACCAGTGTCAATACCGGGAGTGGCCACCATTTTCGTCGATACAGGCGAGATAGCCACGAAGCATTAAAGACACAAGATGATCATTCAAGCATGTGCCCAAGGGAAAAACATGATTTCGAACGATGTTGCATCGGTAATGATGAAGAGTTGTGTTCTCATATAAGTTGAGATGCCACCCCACATAATTCGACTTCGACCCCTTAAACCGACGGCGTTGAGTGGCACAAGCGGCACTCAAACGCTCTGGGAGCCTGTTGGCCCTTTTACGACTATTAGATTTACCCAGATGAAACCAGACTCAACTGTGAACATTACACTATCCTGGTTTTCAGCAAGCTGTAGCACTAAGTATTCATGGTAAAACAAAAGTGTTTTAAGATCAGATGGTAGCTGAACAATCTTTGTGTGCTTTTCACGTTCCAAAACCATGTGTATGAGTATCATGCTCCCAACGAACATGTAAACATCTAAATTGTGTGAAATGCATGACCATTAACGTGCAAATTGTCAATCACGGTGGGGTGAGGTAAAAATGAAGTTTAACATCGGACTTGAGAATATTTCGCTCATATGACGACGTGCATGCTTGTGTATATGTGGCTGCTTGTACTAGCCCAGACTTTAATCTGGTTATAGTGCTAGCTCACTAGCTACAATGCCGCATTTAAGCATGAATACCCCACTCATATTGTCTCCGAGTCGACTAGTCCTTGTTGTACCCATTAATGCCGAGCGTTAGACAGGGACCAATCAAGTACCATATTTCAACGTCTTTTGGTATGATGCGGCCGGGGATCGAACCTGCTCTCCAGGCGGGCGCTCTAACTACTGCACTAGGCGGTTAGACATCTTAATGAACATGCATCAAAAGATGCATTAATTCTAAAAGGCACACATTTTATATTAATAGCATTATATGAAGAACACTTACGAAAGCTCACAACACCACTACCCCTTTCCGTATTAAGAAAACTTACACATATATCGCGCTTGGACTAAAAGCTCATGTCACAGATATTTAACAAAGTGGCAAGACCTTTAAGCACAGGATAATACTGGTGACATGTCCTCAACTCAAAATGTTATACTGACATTCAAAAGTGGGTTAAGCAAATACCAAGCTCACCTCGACAATGACAGTGCAAAAACTACTTAACTGAGTTCGTAATACCAACAAAATGTATTTGGTCTATGTCTATGTGACTTGCAACAAATGGCTGGGAAAATGTTGACGTATAACACCTTTTAATTGTTTAAGGGCTATATATACTAGTATATATATATTTATATCTATGTATGCCTACACACGTTTAATGTAGGCCACGACATAACGGACGCTACCGACAGATAATTCAAGTAGGACTGGAGGCATGGAGGTGTGTCGATATGTACGTCAACAACGGGAATATTGGTCACATGGTCCTGGCGTGAGCTCTGTCACGTGATTATGATCCTGTACGGTTTCGACCTTCTTTCGATGAAAAAAATAAGCTCAAGGTTTGGTAAGATTAATATGATTCTTTAGCGTGAGGAGTTAAGTTGAATACTGACTGGAGTATGCAGGATTATATGCCGCTTTTAGCAACATTAAGGGACCGTTCATAATTTATAGCCGGGGGGGGGATTGATTTTTATGGAGAAGCATGTACAATGTGAATTACCCCCCCTAAAATTTATGTACAAAATATGTGACCCCCCTGCATGCCATGTACAAAATCTAACTCAAAATCATAATTTGTAAGCATAATTTCAAACATACTTTTACGTACAAAATTGCTTAACCCCCAGTACGTGTGTATACATTGATGAACCCTCCCCCAGCTCCCCAGAACAAAATGAGTGACCCCACCTTAAAGTCACCCCCACCACCCCAAAACCACCACCACCACCACCCCACCCCCACCCCAAAGCCGTAAATTATGAACGGTCCCTAAGGACATAACACAGTGACTACAAATGGGCTTCACAAGTTGTACCCATTAGGGCAATTAGGCTACCCCACAACCCCTGAACACACTATCATGTAACATAACAATTTATAAATCATTTCGATGCAAACAAATTGACTTTGGCGGGTCTTCATGATATTAAATTTCAACCTCCGACTTTTGTTGTTAGAGAAAACAATACGGAATATCTACACGCACATGTCGCAAGTATTACTAAACGCGGAGACAAAACACGATGTTGTAATATGTTTTATTCACAAAATGTCAACAATCACTCATATCTCCCATATGTTTAGTGCAGTTTGCCTTATGACAAAGATTCCAAGCTCTGTATATAGCTATCTTTAGACCCATCTTTTTATACATATTTTTCGTTTTAACTGGTTTATCTGTTTAAATGATGTAAACCTGAATAAAACTGCTAGGCGTTTAAGACCCGTGAATATCCAGGTTAGAGTCGGTCTTCAGCAACCCATGCTTGTAAGAGGCGACTAAAGGAATCGGGTGGTCAGGCTAGCTCACTTGGTTAACAAATGTCATCGTAACACAATTGCTAAGATTGATGTACATGCTGTTGATCACTGGATTGTCTGGGCCAGACTCGATTAATTTAAAGACAGCTGTCGTATAGCTGGGATTTGCTAAAAGCGACGTTAAATAACATACATACAAACTAAGCTGAGGCAGTTACAAGGAAAATATTTTGTTCACTTCAGCACTAATAAGCACCCCAAAATCAAACGTAATAGTTTTCAATATTTTGCTAACTTTCAATACTATTGTTTCGTATTTGAGTGGGGTTGGGGGATGTCGTGGTATGGTACGTGTCGTGGTATTATTCCACCGGGACCATGCTCAACTTCTTCTTCTCCACACCTTCTTTGGCTCTGATTGTGAGGGCTATGCCGTTGATGGTGTCGTCCTCCATTGCCATCAGGAATGCGCTAACCACCTGGTCTACCCTGAAACACATAAACATTATACTAACACTGTTACAATGTTACATTAACACATTACGTCAGTTCAGAGCCCCTTTCCACAAAACGATCGTAATGCTAAGACAATCGTTACTCACATAATGACTTACGACAATCATAGTGAACGCTTTGACGAACATGTCCTATTTTAGAAAAGTGTGTTGAGTATATTCAGTGTCTGTGGATACTGATGATGTTCAAAATCATATAGCCAAAAACAATTCAAGAAGTGAAGTTAGGACGGAATACCAACGGTAAAAAGTAACTTTGTTCAAGACAATTTATCATAAATTTCATGCCGATGATTTGGTGTCGTCTAATACCAATTCCCTAATTTACCAACAAGAGGTAAAATACGAAAGATCGGGCTGACACTTGTTTCTGTACCGGCAAACAGTACAGAGCACTTCCATTCAGATTCTGTCCAACGCCAGTAGCTCTTATTAGATAGCTGTGAAACGACCTTGTTTTCAGCATGGGTTTTGACATGTTTCACAAGAGGATCATCGGACAAATAATTATGTACAAAAGTGAACAATAAAATTTCTGTCATGAGGAGCCCCCACTTTAATCAAATCACGCCCACCCATTTTAATTGATAAATACACGCAACTGAGGTAAAAGTATTGGTGTTGGGGTCTATTTTCTGTCACGATGTTATTTTGTGAGAGTGTCAACACTCTTAATTTCTTGTTTCGCCCAACCAACAACACCAAAAGAATATGAAAGGAAGGGCACAGCATTAGTATTTGCGAGCGGTCGGCTCTGAACTCCAGATGTTTTTAAGTCTGGATTTCTATTCTGCCCGAATGTTGGGCACGCTGCAGTTCGTCTCTAACCTGCATCCCCAAGTAAATACACGAGATGTCAACAACTGTCAAAAAAAATAAACCCCCCACCCCCACCCCCACTCCCAGCCCCACTTCTTCTATCTTTGCCACGTTTCAGATTTGAAATGTTCCTATTTGTTCAGTGTTGAATCTCCATTATCAACCACTTCAAGTCAGGTCAGCACATGCCATTGCGAATACATTTCAAGTTTAGTTGACCAGCAAATCATTGAAGACTTGAGTAAAACAAGTAGTCCCTCAGGAGGGTCAATACCTTCTAGTGACTTTAAAATCTATTCGCGAGGAACAGAAATATAAGCGCTCAGTAGTCAAGGATAATTTGTTTAAACCAACAATTGATCCTTGCAACCCAAACATCCATTTCTGGCTCCTTTCCATTCCATGTAAATAAAGGCATTGGAGGAGCAGTAGGATGACACGAAATCTCTAAGACACCCTGTAAATACTTTCTATTGTATATTCAGGCACGTAATGGGGCGGACCTTTTTCAGTCACCTTTCTTTTTTCTACTTCTCCACGAGAGAATTCAAACAGTGACGTAATGATGGTTGGACACAAGGGATCATTTTCCAATGCCGGTTTGGAATACCATCAGGTCCTGGAGGTGTATTAAATTTCGACTCTTTGATTACCTTTTTCAGGCAGTCAGACATAATGAAACATATATACCAATGGCAACTGTTTTCATGTACATCGTTATTGTACTCCTCTACCCATGGTTACCGTTGCTGCGTATAGACCACAACAGATTTAAAACCTTTCATTGAACAGATTGTGTTGATATAACTTCATAACCGGACGATATCGCGTCAGAGGTCGGGGATTACATCAGTACACTACAAAAGGCTTCATCACATTGGTTTTCTTCAGTTTCTATGTAAAAAGCATAAATGCTTACGTGCAATACTCAGTACGTTCCATAGTCTGCTTGAAGTGTGCATATTGTACGATCTGGTCTTCATCTAAGTCCATAAGAGCCGTCTTAGCACCCATAGGGCAGATACTGGCCAGTCGAACTTCGGCAGCCTTCATGTCAGGGTTTTGCTGAAGAAACAATGGCATTACTCAGTGTGAATGAGTTACGTCACATCAGCAATATTTCAGCCATAGCTACACAGGGCATAGTCATTCAATTTGCATGGGGTAACATTGTCATTGTTTCACTAACACGACCAGTAATTGCAAATTATAACTGCTGACCATATAATCGACACGGAATAATTTCTGTTACACTGTATACGTTATACATTTACATCATATTGCATTTGCACACTCATTTAGTTTCATCAGCACTAGTAGAGACAACGCGTTGTTCATTCCAACAGAAGACAGGTTCTGGTCATGTATCTCGAGATTCATATTGATGATTCAGAATATATCGAAATGAAAGCACATTATGTAGATTGCAAGAAACGTTTAAAATTAACTTACTGCCCAACTCGACGTGAAGTGATAAACAGCGCTCTTACTGGCTCCATAAGCAGGGAACCACATTGTAGGCACCAAACCTTAATAAAGAGTGAAAGAAAGATTAACCGTTAATGCGTAAGGATTTCTTATTCATGTAACTGCTTGAGGCGTTTCATAAACACTATGTAATGCAACCTTGTGACGAGAACTACTTTGTCGTTTGTTCAGTATTTATTTTCCAGTTAAGTAAGTCTGCGGTCGGCAGACAATCCACCGACTATCATTATGAACCAACGAGATACGATGACATGAGAGTCAGGTAACCTGACCATCCGACCATTTGACGCCTTGACAAGCACGGGCTGCAAGAGCAGTTCAAACCCGGATCTTCGCTATTGCGGTTGGTAAGTCAAGGAAAGAAGGACTCCTCCTCCTCCTCCAACATCACTCAAACCATTCCACCACACACAGACCAGCCTTAACACCTTATCTCGACCCAGTATAATGCACATTCATGGACAAGCATGACTACCTCATACCTGCCAATGACGCAGTGTTGATGATGACGCCGCCTCTTCCCCCTTTATCCTTCCTCATGTGATTTAGCGCCATCATGGTCCCCCCGAACAACAGCTGTCTGAACACAGACAGCAATTAAGCCATTATAAATTCGTAAATCCTTTAATGGAGAGAGAGGTGACCCTCCCAAGTAAACAATAGACAATCTGTTACTGGATGTACAGTTACTATGAGCATTACTATTTAGCAATTCTGTGAGTTGAGGTGAGGTGAAATTGGGCTTAACGTCGTGCTTGAGAATATTTAGCTCATATGACGACGTGCATGCGTGTGGCTGCTTGTACTAGCCCAGACTGAAGCTGGTTATATAGTGCTAGCCCACTGAGATACCATGCCGCAGTGAAGCATGAATACCCCACTCAGACACATTATACTGACTCCGGGCCGACCAGTCCTTGTTGTACCCATTAATGCCGAGCGCCAGGCAGGGACCAACAAGTACCATATTTTAACGTCTTTTGGTATGACGCGGTCGGGGATGGAACCCGCGACCTTCCGCTCTCCGGGCGCACGCTCCAACCACAACAAGCAATTCTGTGGGCCTATGAACGGATGTATGGTATATCGTATATACTAATATGACAAACACTTACGAAGTTGATTTCCAGCTGTTTTTCCCATATCCGTTCATCCATGATGCCTGCATTGTTGCACATTACATCAACATGACCAAATTTCGAGACGGCAGCTTTGAAAGCATCTGGACAAAAAAGTCATGCATATACGTTCATATGTATTAAGGGCAACCTATGTAGATATATATGATTGAGTTGGAGCCGTGTTCTACGAAATCAGAACTAAATGTAAACACATCGGCTGTCGTCAACGCTACATCTGCAACCATTATAACATTAGCATGGCCATGCCACTAAACTCACCCTCAAATTCAGCAACATTTGTCACGTCACACTTCACAAAGAAGACATTATCAGCTCCACTGGAAGTTTGTAGTTCCCTGGCCGTTGCCATCCCTTGATCCCTCTTGACATCTGCGATACAAACCTGGCCGGAAATGGAAATATGATGTCTGAAGATCTGAGAACACCTCCAAAACACATTTGTATCTTGAAAACAAATGTAATTTAGGAATTTCGAATGCAAAACAAAATGCAACGTGATTATATTGTTCTTATGCTTCATGCAAATTCTGAGCGCTATGGCATCGACATCCAACAGAATTTACTTCAGGTTATATTTTTTTAATGTAACGTTAATCCTGTGAAAAGATACACAGTTCTGAATCGAGGTGGTACAGAACTCAAGAATCATTTCAGAAGACAACTTCTGACTGAACCCAGGCATCCCTATCGTTTATTCATCATCAGAAGCGGACTCAGGTCTCCACACTGAGATGTATCGTATCGGAGTAATCGACCTGATAAGAATGGTATCCAGGCATTGCAACTCGTAATGTCTAAAACAGTGTATATGGTATCCTTGTCAAAGTGTCAAAATTAACTAAAGCGTCACAAAAATACGACAATGCGACTACGAATCATTTGTGCCCTTCGTCGCATTGTCGCTTTAGGATAAATATTTTAATTTTTGTTTACAGAAGGGCGATAATGTGATATAGCGATAATGCGATAAATGGCCAGAATGTTGTGATGTTATCTCGCTTTGGTCAATTTTGACATTTCTTGCTTGTATTTGTAAAGGCTTATGTCCCTTCTTGGATTTCATATGTATGGAAAGGTTTTGATGACAGCGTAATTCATAATACACTTTATTACCTTTGGGGTAACAGACAGGCAATGTGCTGTTTGGGAGATAAGTACAAATTCAACCCACAGAATCGAACCGGAGAATCAAACTGTTGTCTCGAGACAACAAACAAAGACAACATGCGTCATCTACATAGTGTTGGTTCTTGATTCCCCATATGGGTGAAATGAATACAGTCCACTTCTGGTGTCCCCTACCGTGATATTGCCAGAATGTTACTCACTCACCCCACTCATATCATATAATACTCTCTGTAAATAAGCTGTTTTGCTTTGGATGCATTTCAGAATGAACTGAATAAGACATATTTACCTTTGCACCTTTCTTCAATACTGCTTCAGCCACGCCCTTCCGAATCCCTGTGCACCGCCGGTGATGAACACTACTTTATCTTTCAGCTGCATGTCGACTTCAGGTGTGCTGTAGGTGGAAACAATATATGTATATGTAATACACACTTATACTGTTCTGTGCAGCGGGATTGTAATGAGTGGACATGACTATGTAGAACATTATATTTTAAACAGTTGCAAAACTAATAGCTTCAGAACCACAAGGCAACATAGAAATTTAAACTACATACAACATGGCAAGGTATATATAAAGTAATATTTCATTTTGAAATGCACCTTATTCCTGTTGATATGAATTATACACTAAAAAAAATTAAAAGAACAATTCATAAAATTCACCGAATCAGTGACAGATCTGAGTACGTGGACATGAATATGTCGGACTGAATAAATATTATATTTTATACAGCTGCAAAACAAATAGCTTGAAAACCACCAGGCAGATCAAATGGAGAGAATATGCTAAACCACAACCAGCAGTTGACAGTACAAAGGGACGCAACCAATACGCCACATTAAACTACATAATCGGAGAAGCTCACCTAAACTCGTCATTGATATTTAGTACACTAATTCTTTTCCCTCACAAAAGCACCATGGGCGCTTCTGCAGAGCTCCGACCCCACATAACAATCAAAACCCTCCTCATTGAAACACCACTAGAGGAAAAAACAATTATCATTTCACCGGTTTGATTTACAGCATTTGCTGTCAACATCGAAAGCATATCTTTCACCTTGACCTACAAACGTTGGGCTTTCAGCTGGTACTGTAAGACAAACGTTCAAATACTGATGTCGGAGAATGTGTATTTATCCAAACTGCACCCACTACTGTCACTCGTAGCAGCTGGTGTTATTCGTGATTTGTACTCACCACGCTACAGGCTGTGGATATAATGATGGCCTCTCTCGATACTGTGTTCAAAGTACACTGCCTCGAGATTTTGAACTTTCAACTTTCTGCTTGCACACTATCGGAATTGCAAAAACTTAGTTGAAAAGCAGTGGACACACATCTCCCGCCGCTGAGCGACTCCACGCTGGAAACGTATTGATTAGACTCCTTTTGTTATAAATGCTGGAGATTTCAAGGACTGTGTATACATATATTTATGTACTGATGATAATGTTCTATTTGCGGACGACTGGTGCTTCCGAAATGGTCGGAATAAGTCTAAACATACATCCATCCATCCATTCATCCATATACAAATACGTACATATGTGCGCTCACACACACACACACACACACACACACACAATGAAGTTATGGTGCTATCTGATGGCATTTACAGACTTCTTTCTATAGAAATATCATTGATTGTTTTGTATACCTTGTACATCAGCACAATTGTACCTACCAACGTCACACATTGACTACACATACTGTCCCTACAAATAAATGAAAAAATGGTAAATAAAAAAATAATAATAAACGTCTAAACATACGGCGACACTAAAACATGAAGTGGTGTATTTGAGTGGAACATTATTGTTACAACAAACAATATATAAGCCATGGGAATTCAGATCTTTTTCCAAAGGATATATAGAGGGTATTTCATGTTACTAGAGAAATATGGTTTACCTGTCATCGAGTGACGTCAAAAATGTTATATTTGACGTTCTTTACGGCAGAGACATCATATTTAAGCAGACACATAAAATATTCTTTTCATCATTCCCTTCCAATTTTGTGCAATTACATTAAAACATTATAACTTGTGAAAATGAAATTAACAAAAGCTAAATTCTCCTAACTGTAAATTGAAGACTGTTCACTTCCTTCGTCTGGCACACAAATTAGACAGTCATAGTTTGGTATTCGAAAATAAAATAAAAATCGAGACAACACACATCTGTATCAGTTGCTTTCTATTTATCCAGTGTCATTGTTTGAATAAGATCACCACTTATAATAATATTCATCAAGCTATCCATTTGGTCTGAGCCTAAACGTCAAAATTCGGTGCTGCCACACAAATACATAAGAACCACTAACAAACATGGAGGACCGAAAGAAAGTAAGAACGCAATTGAGAAAAAAGTCAACTACTTACTGTGTAATACTAGTAAAGACGGCTGTCGATCGATTGAAATAAACTCACGTGTACATAAAATGTCATAAAATTGAACTCTGCCAGAACGTAACTCAATTGTTTGGAACAGAGGTAAACTGGACTGGAGGCGTGGACTCGACGTAACACAGTCGCACTCCCTCGGTGCTTGAGGCTGATCACCCGATGTTCAGGCTTGCTGGTCAAATGCATATGATGAAATGTATATGATTACATTGGAATTTAAAGTGAGTAAAAGATACTCAACTGGGCAGAAAACTTTGTTGGCCCACAAAGAAGTTCTTGCAAAGTGATATTTTCACACATTTTCCCAAACTCAGATATTTACCTTTCACCATGGTGTTTGACATTACAGGCGGGTACAAAATCACAACAGTTTTTTCATGAGGCAGAAGGTCCTTGAGCAGCTGTATCAATTAACTCTGTCAACTCCTGGATCTCCTTAACATTGCCCACTGCTGGACCCGGTAATCCTTGTGTAGCTGTATCAATTAACTCTGTCAACTCCTGGATCTCCTTAACATTGCCCGCTGCTGGACCCGGTTGTCCTTGTGTTGTTGTATCAATTAACCCTGTAAACTCCTGGATCTCCTTAACATTGCCCGCTGCTGGACCCGGTTATCATTGTGTAGCTGTATCAATTAACCCTGTCAACCCCTGGATCTTCTAAACACTTCCCACTGCTGGAACCGGTTATTGTTGTGAAGCTGTATCAATTAACCCTGTCAACCCCTGGATCTTTTAAACACTTCCCACTGCTGGACCCATTTATCCTTGTGTAGCTGTATCAATTAACCCTGTCAACACTTGGAGCTCCTTAACATTACCAACTACTGGACACGGTTATCATTGTGTAGCTGTATCAATTAACCCTGTCAACTCCTGGATCTTCTAAACACTTCCCACTGCTGGACCCGGTTATCCTTGAGTAGCTGTATCAATTAACCCTCAACTCCTGGATCTCCTTAACATTACCCACTACTGGACACGGTTATCATGGTGTAGCTGTATCAATTAACCCTGTCAACTCCTGGATCATCTAAACACTTCCCACTAAGCTGGACCCGGTTATTGTTATGTAGTTGTATCAATTAACCCTCTCAACTCCTGGATCTCCTTAACATTGCCCACTGCTGGACCCTGTTATCCTTGTGTAGCTGTATGAATTAACTCAATCAACTTCAGGATCTCCTTAACACCAGATGATCTTTTTCAATCATTTGCTGAAAGGGAAGAACATGATCTCGAACATATCCCTTCGACGAAAAGTTGATGTCACAGGTATTTACCAAACTGACACATGCCTTTAAGGCACCTTACGGAACAGGACAAGGATGTGACTCTACACGTTCTTAACTCAAAATGTTAAACTGACATTTACAAGTGGGTTAAGTAAATACCAAGCTCATCTCGGCAATGACATTGCAAAACACTACTTAACTGGTTTGAGTGGCATTTTGAGAAGTTGAGACGTACAATATATAACAAGTTTTATGGATAACAACTTCTTTATTTTGGTGAGTGCGACGTTTCGATACAGATTCTTGTACCGTTGTCAAGCAAGAGTGATACATGAAGTGTAGGAGCTGCATATATATACTGTAACACTATGTAGCTCCTACCTTGCTTGTGTCTGACAACGGCATAAAATCCAATGAAAATCGTCGCAGCTCACCAAAATAAAAAGTTGTTATCCATAAAACTTGTTATATATATATACACTACTAACTGGTTTTGTAAGTGGTTTTGGCCTAAACTAAACGCCAAAGAAACGTTACGCTCCTTCCTTTAGTGACGGAGGCAACCTATCTTCAGCTGGCGTTGTGGTGCGTGGACGTCCATTTCTTGGTCTGTCTACAATGACTCCAGTCTGTCTGAAGCCTAAATAAGTCTTATAACCGTGACACGGTGGCATCCGAGGGCGTTGGCGACCGCATTGTATGTCGACCTCATCTGCACCATCCCATTGGCTCTTTTCTCTCTCTCTTCGGCTGTTAATTGTGGTATATTTCGCGTACCCGTGTATCATATCGTGTATTCTAGGCTCTCTTCATACCCTATAGAATCACTGTACATGTGAAATGGCTGCAAATACTGCCTGAATATTCCTGCGTTAAGGCGATTGATATTGCTATGTGTAAACAAAAAACAGAAAATTGTTATTTTGCAAACAAACATGTTAACAAAGACAATTTTTGATGTTCCTAAACATTTTTCACAATACCAAAGACACGTTTTACTTGTTTTACTAATGCTTATCAGCAGACAATGTTTTAAAAGACTGAAATCATAGGAATGATTATTTTACAATTTTACACTCTGCAACAGTTGTTTCTTGTTTTAAAGAGTTGAAAAATGGTGCCTTTATATGGTAAACATTGTCCCAAAGCAGAATTTTATTTCAACCTTTCATTTGGACATCAAAATCACTGTTATTGGTTTATTTCGGCATGGGCGATTATAAAACAATTTAACTCTTCCGAAAAGATGCATTCACCTAAATATGAATGCATTTGAGATTTTGTTTTCGTGATTTGCATAAAGCTGTGTTTTAAGCGTTCTTGTAAACTAATACCTTCTAACATGTCTTTGATAGTTTTCAGTAATTCATAAAGATTAACGGGTTTTTGGCGTTTGAGTGTATATGAATTTGACCATAGCAATATAAGGCATAGGGAAATGTTGGCATATAATGCCTGAGAATTGTTTATAGGCTTTAGATACAACCATATATATTTATATCTATGTATGCTTACTACCTCATGAGGTCCGGGTTAGGATATTGATCTTCAGTAACCCATAAATAAAAATAACAGAGATACTACAATTAAAACCTGGTAGATATAAAATACTTGGAGAGACATGGACTTACATACGGACAATAATTTCACGGTACTTCAACCCCCGTTG